AGATTTTTAGACATACCATTTGTAGACATTCTATTTTATTAAATAATATGAAAAGTTGCTCAAATCCAGCTATCACACTGTACATTCAGAGAAGTATTTGCTAGAATACTACATCTTTTCTCAAACAAATATATGCACACACACACACACACACACACACACACATGCATGTACATGTACACAAATGAGTATTAATTTTGGTTTGCTGTTCCAATATTTCAAATACTTATGATAGTAAGTACTTATGATACTTATGATAATATTTCAATACTTATGATAGTTCTAGAAGAAGGTTAGTAATTACAATATGTGGATAAACACAACCTGCAGATGACACAAAAAAATTTTGCCTCATGAACTTTCACTATGTAGTAGATAAACATTTCAGGAAAGGGGATAGTATGTACCTTTAAATTTCTTTCTCAGCGTGCCTGGTGGCTCAGTCAGTTGGTTAAGTATCTGGCTCTTAATTTTGGCTCAGGTCATGATCAAACTAACTGTGAGATCCAGCCCTGGGTCTGGCTCTGTGCTGACAGCATGGAGCCTGCTTGGGATTCTCTCTCTCCCTCTCTCTCTGCCTCTCCCCCACCCTCGTGCACACACTATCTCTTTCTCTCAAAATAAATAAACATTATACATGAATGAATGAATGAATACATACATACATACATACATACATACATAAATAAATAAATAAAATTTTCAACTTTTGGAAAAGTAAAACATAATGAGCACCCAAAACCCCAAGGAACTTTAAAAAACTTTTCAGAAGGTAGAGGAGGGAATAGTTCTCAATTCTTTTTGTGATGACAGCACAACCCTGATAGCAAAACCTGACACAGATATTATAAGAAAATTATAGACCAGCATTTTTCATGGACATAGATGTAAAAGTTTATAAAAAAAATATTGGCAGTTGAATCCAGCAATATATAGAAATGATATTATATCATAACTATGGGGAGTTGATCCCAGACTTAACATTCGAATATCAATATAAATGACTATATTTTCAAAATATAGAGAGAAAACCAATGATCATCTCAATAGATGCAGAAAATGTGTTTGTCAAAATTCAAAACCCATTTGTGATTAAAAAACGAAAGACCTCCAAGTATGCAAGTAATAGAAGGGAACACCATCTAATAAAATGCCATCCATGAAAAAAACTTGCAGCTAACATCATATTTATGGTAAAATATTAAATACTCCCCTATGGTTAGGAACAAAGCAAAGGATTTCTCATCTTGCTACTTCTGTCTATCCTTGTGTGGGTAGTGATAGGTGGTATAATAAGGTAAGAAGAAAAAAATAATAAAAGACTTAGAGATTTAGAAGAGAAAAGACAAAACTGTTTCCTAAAGAAAATCTTAAGGAAAATCAAAACATTGCTTAGAAAATCCTAAGAAATCCTCATAGAAAATCCTAATAACATTGCTTAGAAAATCCTAAGAAATCCACGTAGAAAATCCTAATAAATATTCTTTAAAAAAAAATCTTAAAAGTAATCATTGAATTTACCATGGTCACAGGATAAAAGATTAATATAAAAATTATATTATATTTCTGTGTAGTAGCAAAAAATTGGGAAATAACATTTGAAAAACAATTCCCTTTACAATATCATCAGAGAATAATTTGGCATAATTTTAACAAAAGCATGTAAAGTCTTTAAACTGAAGACTACTGTGACTTGCTGAGAGAAGATCTAAAGAAGACCTAAATAAATAGAGAGATATACTATGTTCATGGATAAGACTTAATATTGTTCAGATGTCAATTCTCACCAAATTGGCTGGTATGGTCATTCACTCTCAATCAAAATCCCAGCAAGATATTTCTGTAGAAATTGACAAGCTGATTCTAAATTTTTTGTAGAAATGAAAATGCCTATAGTAGCAAAAATAATTTTGAAAAAGAAAAAGAAAGATGGAGGATTCATAGTACTTCTTAATTTCAAAACTTACTACAAAGCTAGAGAATCCAGACAATATGGCATTGGTACAAGAAAAGACAAATAGATCACTAATATGAAATAGAGAATCCAGAAATAAACTCACATCAGTCAATTTATTTTCAACAAAGAAACCAAAATAATTCAATAGGGAAATGGAAGGTGTTTTCTCTTTTCCTTTTCTTTTTCTTCCTTAAACATATCTGGAAATTTGTATACTCACTCATATGGGAAAAAGTAAATATCAACGTCTACTCATTCCACAAACAAAACTTAATGTGAAATGCCTTATGTATCAAAAGTAAAAGCTATAACAATACTGTTTCTGGATGAAAACAGAGGATAATATCTTTACAGCCTCAGGGTAAGGAAAGATTTCTTAGATGTCACACAAACAGGGAAAACACATAAAATAATTTGATAAATTAGATGAAATAAAAAAATAAAAACTGTTGTTCATCAAGATATCATAAGATAAAAAAGCAACTTATAGGCCAGGAGAAACTATTCATAATACATATATGTAACAGAAAGATTGTAGCCTGAATATATAAAAAGTCTTACAAATAAAAAAAAAAAAGAACAATCCAATTAAAAAATAGAAAATAGGGGCGCCTGGGTGGCGCAGTCGGTTAAGCGTCCGACTTCAGCCAGGTCACGATCTTGCGGTCCGTGAGTTCAAGCCCCGCGTCAGGCTCTGGGCTGATGGCTCAGAGCCTGGAGCCTGTTTCCGATTCTGTGTCTCCCTCTCTCTCTGCCCCTCCTCCGTTCATGCTCTGTCTCTCTCTGTCCCAAAAATAAATAAACGTTGAAAAAAAAAAATTAAAAAAAAAAAAAATAGAAAATAAATTTGAACAAGCCCTTCACAAAAAAGATATATAAATAGCCAATAAATACATGAGAATGTGCTCAATATTTCATCAAAGAAACACAAATTTTACTTTAACAGAATAACTAAAATCAATAGGGCTAACAACACTGAATACAGAGAATATGTAGAATAACTGTGATATGACAAACACTATGGGAAATGTTTGACTACACCTACCCTCCTAATTCCACTCCAAGTAATTACTCAAAGAAAAAAGAGTAAATGTCCTTAAAGCTATTCATAGCAACTTAACTCTAATAGCAAAAAGTTTGAAAAAATCAAATATTCATCAACAAAATAGTGGATAAATACATTACCTTATATCCAAACAATGTACTTATATTCAGCAATAAAAAAAATGAACCGCTGACACACAAAACAACATGAAGCATCTTAGAAACACATAAGAGTACCTACTATGTGATTCCATCTACATGAAGTTCAAGATCAAAGGAAAACTAATCTGTAGTGATAAAAATCAGAACAGTGGTTGCCTATATAGTGGGTGGAAATTTACAGGAAGGAAATTCAGGAAACCTTCTGGAATAATGGAAAAGTCCTAATTTCTGACTGGAGGTTATATAGATATATACATTCATAAAATCTAAAATTGCTATGCTTAATAAGGAAGTGTTCAAAAAACAAAAGGATAGAGATGGGTCAAAGGGACATATTAGCCAATCGGAAAAGAACTCAATTGCCAAGACCAGAACAATTTAAACAACAAAATAAATAACATATTATTGAATTCTAACTGAAAATATAACAGACGTATTCATGAGTCCTTGCTGATATAAATAAAAGATTGAATAATAAATAAAGAAGAGGAGACAAATCCTTATGACAGAATTCCAAATAATACACATAGATACCATTCCTCCAAGAAGTGAAGCTAAATTTGCTTCCAAAGAAGAGAGTATGAAAAAAGAAAAGTAGTAACTCCTGATATGGTGCATCACCCTCCTTGTGCATATGAAAAACTCAAATTAATGTACATTGAGCCAGAATTAAGTGGAAAATAAATTACTTTCCTGAAACTTGATTCCTTTAATTTTTTAAAAATTTTTTAATCTTTATTTATTTTTGAGAGAGACACAGAGTGTGAGCAGGGGAGGAGCAGAGAGAGAGAGGGAGACACAGAATCTGAAGCAGGCTCCAGGCCCCGAGCTGTCAGCACAGAGCCCGACGTGGGGCTTGAACTCACGTACCGTGAGATCATGACCTGAGCTGAAGTCAGATGCTCAATGGACTGAGCCACCCAGGTGCCCCCAAACTTGATTCCTTTAAAAGTTCAATACTCTTTTCCCCATGGCATATAATCCAGAGGTTATCAAACTATCTACAGTTTGAGGGCACCTGGCTAAGTGTCTGACTGTTAATCTTGGCTCAAGTCAAGATCTCATGGTTAGTGGATTCAAGCCCCACATCATGCTCTGTGCAGGCAGCATGGAGCCTGCTTGGGAATCTCTCTCTCCCTCTCTCTCTCTGTCCCTCCTCTGCTCCTGTGCATGCCTCCTCCCTCCCCCTCTCTCTTTCTCTCTCAAAAATAAGTAAATAAACTTTAAAAAGAAACCGAAAAAATGAACTATCTACAGTTTGAAGGGGCCAGTTTTTCTTTTTAATTCTAATCCATTGCAGACTGATACTTCTATAAAAGACAAATTAATTACCAGAAAAATAAAATTTTTAAAAGGCACACAAGCTACAAGAACTCAAAATTTCATTAGATTTAATAAACACAAAATTGCTGTGTTGAGTTGGTAGAAAATTTCTAGAGTTACTCTAAATTTCTGAATGTATTTCATCATGGATCAGTAATTTTGTGAACTGGCACTGGTCCACAGACCACATTATTTTTTAAGTTTATTTATTTGTGTGTGTGTGTGTGTGTGTGTACAAGCAGGGGAGGGGCAGAGAGAGAGGGAGAGAAACCCCAAGCAAGCTCCACACTGTCAGCTCAGAGCCCGACGTGGGGCTTGAACCCACAAACCATGAGATCATGTCCTGAGCCGAAACCAAGAGTCAGACATTTAACCAGCTGAGCCACCCAGGCGCCCCCCACAGACCACATTTGGAGAAGGAATTATACAGTTTACAATGTAAGAAAGAGAAGGATTCATTAATTCACTTCATTCATTCATTCATTCATTCATTCAATACATGTCAAATGCTTACCATGTGTCGAGTACCGCCACAGGCAATAGGGAATCAGTGTGAATATGACCTACAACATCCCTAATCTCTTGAAGTTTATAATCTGGAAAAAAAAAGAAAGATATACTTTTTTTAAAAACCTAATAATTAAATCACCTGGGGAAAATATCAGAAAGTAGTATCAGGGACAAAGGGATAGAAAAGTGTGATAGTGTCTGGGTGGCTCTTTCGGATTGAGGATCAGGGAGAACTTCTCTAAGAGGCTGACACTTGACTAAGATCTAAATGATTAGAAAAGATTTGGCCGTGTTAAGTTCAAACGGAAGAGTATCACAGGCAGAGGAAACAAGTGGTGCAAAACTCCTCCTAAGTACTTCCATTTCCAGCAAGATGGAGTGACAGATACAGGATTCACCCTCCTTCCTGAAACAACAATAAAAATTGGACAAACTGTATGAAACAATGGCTTTCATGACATTGGAAGTCAGGAAATGTAGGACAGTGGTCCCTGAGAGATAGGAAACCAGTGAGGTAAGCCTCATGATCACTTCAGTTTAGGGCATGGAGAAGCTTTCAGTCCCCAGAGAAGTGGGGGGAACACTAGGTAGAGGGTAGAGGTCCTTCTGAGTTGAGAAAACTTTGCTGGGAACACCAAAGCAATCAGAGTTCACAGGGCAGAGGAATAGAGAAAAGATAGCTATACAGAAAAAAGACTTCAAGAGATTTGCAGACGATCTCCATTAAGTATTCACAAGGAGTAATAGTTAATAAGCCAACAAAGGACATGAAATAAAATTGTAAAAAATATACAATTAATCACAAAGAAGACAGAATAAGGGCACCTGGATGACTCAGTTAGTTGAGTGTCTGATTCTTGATTTCGGCTTAAGTCATGATTCCAGCATGGTAGGATCAAGCCCCACTTTGGGCTCCATGCTAAGTGTGGGGCTTGCTTAGAATCTTAGATTATTAGAGTCTCTCTCTCTCCTCCTCTCTCTCTCTCTCTCTCTCCCCCCAACCCGCTGCCCCTGACCCCTCCTCACTCTATCTCTAAAACAAACAAACAAAAAGAACAAAAAACAAAGAAGACAGAATTAAAGGAAAGAGGACAAAAAAATCAACATGACAAATAGAAAGCAAATAGCAATATGCTACGTTTAAAACCAACTGCATAAATAATCACATTTAATGTAAATGCTCTAACACTCCATTAAAAGATGGAGATTGTCAAATTGGATATAAATAAGCAATACCCAACTGTGACCTACAAGAAATGTATCAAAAATGAAGATGCAAATAGGTTAAGAGAAAGGATAGAAAAATTATAAACCATGGTAACAATCAAAAGAAAGCTATGTTAATATCAGACAAATTGTACCTAGGGCAAAGTATATTAGCTGGGACATAAAGGGGCATTTCATAATGCCAAAGGGGTTGATTCATCAAGAAGATCCAAAAACCCTATGCGTTTGGGTTTTTTTAAGTTTATTTACTTATTTTGAAAGTGAGAACCAGGAGGGGCAGAGAGAGAGGGAGAGAGAGAATCCCAAGCAGGCTCCACACTGTCCACAGAGCCTGATGAGGGACTCGAATTGACACACCAATATGAGCTGAGCCAAAATCAAGAGTCTGGTTAACCAACTGAGCCACCCAGGCACCCTAAAGCCCTACAAGTTTAAACAGATAGTAACAGAGCTTCAAAATACATGTAGCAAAAACTGATAAAAACTGCCAGAAAAAAAATAGAAAACTCACCGTTACAGTCAGAGATTTCAGCGCCTTTCTCTGCTGCCACCAGTGATACATTTGTTACAACTAACATCTCATTATCATCCAAAATCCATAGTTTACATGACTGTTCACTCTTGGTGCTGTACATTTTATGGGTTTTGAAAAATCTATAATGGCATGTATCCACCAGTAGAGTAACATACAGAATATTTTCATTGCCCTGAAAGTCCTCTCCTTAACCCCACCCCATCAACCTCTGATTTTTTACTGTCTTCATAGTTTTGCATTTTCCAGAATGTCATACAGTTAGAATCATACAGTAGTAGCCTTTTCAAAACTGGCTTCTTTAACTTAGAAGATTCATTTAAGGTTCCTCCATGCTTTTTCATGGCTGGATAGCTCATATCCATTTAGCACTTAATAACATTCCATTGTCTGGATAGGCCACAGTTTGTTTATCCATTCCCCTAGTAAGGAAATCTTGGTTATTTCCAAGTTTTGGCAACTGTGAACAAAGTTTCTATAAATATCTGTTGTGCAGATTATTGTGTGGACGTAAGTTGTCAAGTCCTTTGGATAAATACCACAGAGTGCAATTGAAAGATAGTATGGTAAGGATAGGTTTTGTTCTGTAAGAAACCGCCAAACTCCCTTCCAAAATAGCTGTGCTCTTTTTCAGTCGCATCATCAACGCATGAGAGTTCCTGTTGCTCCACTCCCTCACTGGCATTTGGTGTTGTCAGTGGTCTGGGTTTGGGCCATTCTAATGGGTTGTTTTAATTTGCATTTTCCTGAACAACAGTAAGATGCTAGGCATCTTTCATATGCTTATTTGTCTTCTGTATCTTTGAGGAGGTGTATACGCAAATATTTTGCCCATTTTCTAATTGTGTTGTTTGTTTTCTTTTTGTTGAGTTTTAAGCATTCCTTGTATATTTTGGATAGCAGTCCTTTATCAGATATGCCTTTTGCAAATATTTTCCCAAGTCTGTGGCTTGTCTTCTCATTCTCCGGCAATGATTATATATTTTAATGCAGCATCTTTTAACACTAGCTGTGCCTTTGATTCACCAAGTCTAGCCAGGTATATATTGAAAAATAAGATAAAAATAAAAATATTGCCAGGAACACAAAATAACAAAATACACTAATACATACTGTCATCCAAGCATTTGCTTCTATATTCTCTCTATGCTGAGAAAATGTTAAAAATCCACTTAGACTTAGAAAATGGACAAAATGAATTCTGCTGAGGTTGTTCTTCAGTGAGTCAGATTTTTCTGTGTGATTGTAGGCACCCTTCGAGATCACGGAGTGGAGAGTAACAGAAAGATAATGAGAAGGGAAATAGAATTATATCATTTGATATTTTGCTCCCAGCAATCATTACTGTTACAGCATTTTAAAATTGTGGAGACTTTTAAGTTTTCCTTTAGGGAAATGATTGTTGGTTTTAATTGTTGAAAGTAATGTGAGGGATCGTTCCCACATACGCAGCTGAAGTTGTTAAACTGAAAGGAATGAAAATTTCCAGTCTTTTATCAGGTGAAAAATGTCCAGATCCTGCCTATCAGGTCATCTTCCCCACTCTTCCCTATCTACTTTCGTAAGTTTGGAATTTTCCATAATAATAAAGGTAAATTTTTTTTGAGAGAGAAAGAGCACGAGCAGGTGAGGGGCAGAGAGATGGGGAGAGAGAGAATCCCAAGCAGGCTCTGCACTGTGAGCGTGGACCCAATGTGGGGCTCAGTCTCATGACTGCGAGATCATGGCCAAGACTGAGAGAAGGACACTCAACCAACTGAGCCACCCAGGTACCCCCAAAGTTAGATTATTTTTAATGAATGCTTAAATATATTGAAATTTATTAATGTGGCTTATTCAACTGATGAACCATGTGGAAAACATCTATCAAAGCTTTCATCAAAGAAAATTTGAGGTAAGCCAAAGATTTAAATATATAAGATAAAGTAATAAAACTATGAGAAGTAAATATAGGGCAATTTCTTCCTTTTTGGAGAGGAGAATGCTTTCCTAAGCAATACACAAAACCCAAATTCCAGAAAGATTAGTGAGTTAAGACTGTATAAAAAAATGTTTTTTTCTGCACAGAAAAAAATACCAAACAAAGTCAAAATACAAATGATCAACTGGGAAAAATATTTCAACACATATGACAATGAGCTCATTTCCTTCATATATAAAGACCTCTTACAAATCAGTTATAAAAGGCCATTAAACCAACAGAAAAAATGACAAAGAACTTAGAGGCAGTTCATAGAAAAGAAACACAAATGGTTTATAACATGAAATCATCAAGAAACGAAAAGTAAAATGTCAGTGTTATACAGTTTTTCATTTATTAGAAGCAATTCTTAAAATCTATGTCATTAAGATAGATATTTAAGTGAAAAAAAAAAAACAAGATATAGACCAATCTATACAGTGTGCCTCTACCTGTTTAAAAACAACTATATAGGGGCGCCTGGGTGGCGCAGTCGGTTAAGCGTCCGACTTCAGCCAGGTCACGATCTCGCGGTCCGTGAGTTCGAGCCCCGCGTCAGGCTCTGGGCTGATGGCTCGGAGCCTGGAGCCTGTTTCCGATTCTGTGTCTCCCTCTCTCTCTGCCCCTCCCCGTTCATGCTCTGTCTCTCTCTGTCCCAAAAATAAATAAAAAACGTTGAAAAAAAAAATTTTAAAAAAAAAAAAAAATAAATAAAAACAACTATATTTATAAATATGTGTGTAGGGGCGCTTCGGTGGCTTGGTCAGTTGAGCTTCTGACCCTTGATTTTGGCCCAGGTCAGGATCCTGGGGTCATGGGAGTGAGCCCGACCATGGCCTCCACACTGAGCATGGAGCCTACCTAAGATTCTCTCTCTCTCCCCTTGCCCCTCTCCCACTTGCATGTGATCTCTCTCTAAAAAAAATAAAAAATAAATATATGTGCGTATATACATATATATGTATGCATGCTTAGATTTGCATAGAACATTCTAGCAGAACATTATGCAAACTGGTTACTGTGGTTTCTTCCATGGTGGGAGTCTGGAAATTTTGGATGAAGAATAAATATAACTTTTCAGCCTGTGTTTTTCCATAACGTTTAAAATTTTTTTTTGAGGGGAGGGCACAAGTGAGCAAGGGACAGAGAAAGAGAGGGAGAGAGAAAGGGAGAAGCGGGGCTCACTGAAGTGAGGCATGAGCTCACCCTAAGCCGGGCTCAAACTCACGAACCATGAGATCATGACCTGAGCCGAAGTCAGATGCTTAACCAACTGAGCCACCAAGGCGCCCAAGTAATGTTTAAATTTTTAAATGAATGTCTGCATCACCTTATCAGTGAAGTATAATTAATAAAACAAACTAAAT